CTGACACTCTGGCGGAGACGACAGTCCTGGGCAAGGGGCAGATCTGTCAATCGGAGGGTGTTGGGGGTCGACGCCTCTGGCCGAGATGTCAGGCTTGGGCAGGGGTTGGAGCCAATCGGAGGGTCTGGGGTCCCCTGCCCAGGCCTGACGCCTGAGCTAGAGGCATCAGGCCTGGGTGGGGGGTGGAGCCAGTGATCAGGGGAGATGGGGGTCCCCTTCCCAGGCCTGAAGCCTGGGCCAGAGACACCAGGCCTGAACAGGGGGAGAGCCAGTGATTGTTGGGAGATTCTGGTCCCCTGCCCAGGCCTGACATCTCTGGTGGAGGTGTCAGGTCGGGGCAAGGGTCTGATCAGGCGATCAAAGGGTGATGTGGGTTGATGCCTCTGGCTGAGGTGTCAGGCCTGGGCGAGGGTGGAGCTGGTGATCAGGGGGATATAGGGGTGCCCTTCCCAGGCCTGAAGCCTGGGCCAGAGGCATCAGGCCTGTGCGGGGGGCAGAGCCGGCAATCAGAGGGGTCTGGGGGTCCCCTGCCCAGGCCTGACGCCTCTGGCCAATGCATCAGGCCTAGACAAGGGTGGAGCCGGCCATGGGAGGGAGATGGGTGTCCCCTACACAAGCCTGACACCTCTGGCCGAGGCTTCAGGCCTGGGCGAGGGCAGAGCCAGTGATCGGGGGGAGATGGGGGTCCCCTTTCCAGGCCTGAAGCCTGGGCCAGAGGCGTCAAGCCTGGGCCGGGGGGTGGGGGGCAAGCCGACGATTGGTGTGAACTACAGAGGAAACACCTTCTCTGACCACTCATTGGCTAAGCTCCCTGTATGCCACTGGTAATATTCTTAGTAACTTGGGTAATAAGAATCCAAAAAGGTGATCTAGGTTTTTTCACCACACTCCTGGTGAAAAAAACGAAGGTCCACTGCTGGAGGGCTAAGAAATGTCATATCCTGCCCTAGCCACTTTGGCTCAGTAGATAATGCCTTGGCCTGCGGATGGCAGGGTCTGGGTTCAATTCTGACCAAGGGCATGTACCTAGGTTGCAGGCTCCTCCCTGGCCGGAGTCCAGGTCAGGGCTCATGCAGGAGGCAACCAATCAAAGTGTTCCTCTCACTTTGATGTTTCTCTCTGTCTTTTCCTTTCTCTTCCACATTCTCTAAAAATCAATAGAAACATATCCTCAGGTGAGGATTAAAAAATAATAAATTATCTATATATATGAAAAGCTAATATGCAAAGTGTCCCCTTGGGAGTTCGACCAGGAGACCAGGAGGTTAGTCGCTTGCTATGACTTGTGCTGACCACCAAGGGGTGGCATGGAACATGGTGTGTGACCAGCAATGGCGGCAGGGCACTGAGGGAGAGAGGGAAGGAGGAGGTGGGGAGGCAGGGAACCTGATTGGCCCTGAGTACTGGCCAGGCCTGGGGCCCCTATCCATGCATGAATTTCATGCACTGGGCCTCTAGTTGTGAACATAAGAAACTTTCAAACCTGTAAAGAATTTTTCTGAGTTTATTTGAGCCAAACTGTCAATAATTGCTGAGAAGTAGAATCTCAACATATGGAGATAATGCTCAGGAGATTGGTGTTTTTTTTTTTACCTATTTTTATACATTATAATCAAAGGAGGAGACGTAAGTGGGTTACATGAAATCCACTAGTGATAGATTAGGGAGGTGGGAGAAAGCAAAGCAGGGAGACCTCTGGGATTGGATAAAAAGTAAAATGATAGACACATGCTTCTTTTACATAGGTAGGTACAGGATAGTTAATAGTCAACAATTAACATGATAACAATAACAATTAAGAAATTTGTGGTCTCCATCCTGGTGTCCTGGTGCATTGGTTGTGCCTTGAGGGGTCCGGAAAAAGGGAAGTTACAAGTTACCCTGACATTCCAATGATATGCTATCATAGATACAAAAGACAACAGACAGGTTTTGTTGTGTAGGACATGGCCACCTGCCATCAACTGCTTTTAGTTAATAAATTTTAATTTCAGACCATCTTTTGTGGTTACTTTAGGTCTCTAGAGTTTGCAAGGCTGCCACACAGGCCTTCCCTGAACTAGTCAGATTAGTATGTGGCCCCCTTTCATCCACATAATGAATTAAATGTCCACATAATGAATTAAATTGGCTTATTGTGACAAATTTGCTATTTGGTTTCTCTCCAAAGAAGACAGGTTTTTTGAATATGGCTCATATTAATCTTTTGTTAACTCTCTTCTTATAATTTATCAACAAAGGAGGGGTGAACAGGAATCTACCCAACGGTGGTTGATATTGTGTGTTCTTTTCCCATGTGTTTTCCATGGGCAAAATAGTGGGAGGGAGATTGGCTGTGTAGGAAGGTATTTGGAATTTGTGCTTTAGGTACATAACCAAGGTTAAGTGCCCTCTTCCATGTCCATTCCCTCTGCGTTGGCTTTTTCTATTGCTCCTCTCAAAATACCCAACACTAAATATACTGGAGGTTTTACTAACTTAAGACTGTGCCTCATTCCACTTGTGCCAATTTCCACTTCTACAGTTTGATCATATTCTTGGAGCAGCCAGCTCAATAATGCCATGTAGCAAGCCATTTCAAAACTTCTGGCTTATACAACAACCATTTAATTCTTGCTCATGTGTCCTTGGGGAAGCTGGGGTTTAGCTGATCTAGGTTGGGCTTGACTAGGCTTAATTGCGTACCTCAGGGTAGGTTCCAATGTACTCCATGTGGTTCTTATTTTCACCTGGAAAATAGAAGTGTTATCTTAGTCTCTGCTGAAATTGAGATTTTGTGTTCTGTACATGTTCTATATTGTTGACTGTTATGGAAGTTCAGTGTTGTATCTCTCTATGCTGTGTACTCGACTTGCAGATATTTTATACTGAAAATGTAGAATAAAGACTATTTTGAAGATTTGATTAAAGTGATGAGGTACCATTACACAAAACAAACAAACAAACAAACAAAAATCCAAAAAAACAGTTGGTCCCCATGCAGGAGCTGGACACAACAGAAGATTGTCAAAATGAGGCTTTCCCTCTTAGGTATTATACAAATGGTGACATTTTGGTGACTCTGACATGTGATAAATGTTTTAACCTCCTGGATATGTTTAAGTGAGCAAAGGGATGCCATATGAAGACATGCACATCAAAGTTCTCTTTACATATTAAATTGAGCAGTGCATGGAAATATGTTTAAAATATTTTACCCTACAATCACTGATTAAAAAATACAGGGAGACACAGCTTTAATTTTTCTACTATGCGTAAGCTAATTTATTCATCTAGAAAATGAGAAAGGTTGTCATTTATTTTCATCAATGAAGGCTCTAATCAAAGTCCCAACTTCCATCTTGTAACAACAAGGTTTTAAAACTGCAAAGCCGGCAGTCGATGTTGTGATTATATTTCTATGAAATAAAATGGTGTTGTTGACCAGACTCAACCCCACTGAAACTGTGCAGTCTGAGTTCTCACCATTCTTGGTCATCTCGTTCCAAGGAAGCAACAGGAGACTCTGGGCTCCTCTGATTGGGATTGAATGCCTTTTGATATATAATTTTTTATCTTTAATTTTATGAATGCATTGACATCAGAGATAATTTTTTAAAGCACTATTCACAGTCTTTTATATGAAGTTCACACATGCACACAGACAGACATACAGACACACACACTCCACAAGCATAAACATATACCCAGGTATAGTCAGTAACTTAAATAATCAGATTTGTGGAAAATACAATGAAACAATTGCAGAGGTAATTAATGTCATGTTCATTTGCTATAGAAAAATAAAGCTCGGATTGTGTGAAGGGGAAATGTAGCACTAGGGCAAGTATCAGTTCACATAAGAAAGACATGCTTGTCTGTCCAGAATGAGTCTTTCTGGAATCCATAGCTGGAAATCAGGTTTTAGTAGAGCCATTTGGTCTAAACATTGCAGAAAATACAGTTCCCAAATTTGAATTTCAGCAATTTGTGTTTATCCTGTCAGTTGAGTGATAGTCACCTAGTCTTACAAATGGATAATTTTTATTCAGTTTTTTATTTTCTGTTAGTCACTTTACATTAATAGGGACAGTAGGCGACAGAATATAGGTGAAGATTAGAGTGAGAAGAAACATACTAATGGGATGTTATCATTAAAAGGGGGATCTTAGAGGTAATTTTTTTCAATTTTTGTATTGTTTGAGTAAAGAAAATGAGTCCTAGAGAAAGGAAAAGCTTTTCCCCAAGACCAGAGGCTGAAATTGATTTTTTTTTGGAGACAGAGAGGAAGGGGGAGGGAGGGAGTGAGACATAAGGTGGGGTGGGGGGCGGGGGGGGGGGGAGAAACACTGATTTGTTGCTCCACTTATTAATGCATTCATTGGCTGCGTCCAATATGTGCCCTGACCAGGAGTGAACTGCAACTTTGGCATATAGGACCACCCTCTAACCAACTGAGCTACCTGACCAGGGCCCAAGTATTTTATTTTTAAGCCCTTGTTTTATCTCTTTTACATTCTGCAGACAAATCCCCTCCATTCTAACATTATTAGGTTTAATTTTCACTCTGTTTGGGAGGACTTACATAAATATGCTTTAGTTTAGATCTCTGTCATTTTCCACGTATCATTTCATTCATACAACATATACACAGTGAGTGCTTTGTATGCACCAATCACAGTTCTAAACACTAGAAAACACCCTTAAGAATTTCACAATAAACTCTCATTCTTTAAAGAAAGTGTCACAAAGGTAAAAATGGGGAGAAAATAATGGTGCTAAGTATAATCATGGTGAGCTTCTGAGTTTAAATAAGATTTCCCTGGTCTAAATATTTTAGAAAATTGTCTGAATATGAAATATTAGGACAAATATAATAATAATGATGATACACAATACCTTACTTTTGTAGAATGTGTTATTCTCTCATTTTTTCTCCCCCAAATCCCATAAGATTATTATTGTCTTCATTGTACAGATGATGAAGTTTAAGATTATCCAGCTTAAGTTGTTACTTCCAACTATTTATCATTAGCTTCCCGGAAAACCTTTCTGCCCCATAGTTTCTTCATTGCATTCTTTACTTCTGCATTTCTCATAGTATAAATCAGTGGATTTAACATGGGGGTGATAATGGTGTAAAATACAGCCACCATCTTATCTTCTGAAAAGGTAGTATCAGGGCGCATATACATGAAAGTACAGGGACCAAAAAAGATGATGACCACGGCAATGTGGGAGCCACAGGTGGAGAGAGCTTTGCGCCTGCCATCTGTTGACTGTTTTCTCAGGGACACCAGGATGACAGTATAGGAGATTATCAAGATAACAAAGCTCCCCAGAGCAATGGTACCACTGTTGGCTGTCACAACAACACCAACGACATATGTATCTGTGCAGGCAAGTTTCAGCATAGGGTGGACATCACAAAAGTAGTGATCGATCTCATTGGGTCCACAAAAGGGTAGTTGGACTATCAGGGCCACTTGGATAATGGAGTGTGGGAACCCACCTACCCAGGTCCCCAGCAACATTTTATTGCATCTGTCCGGGCCCATGATAGTCATGTAGTGTAGGGGTTTACAGATAGCCACATAGCGATCATAGGCCATTACCGTGAGGATGAAGATCTCCGTGCAACCAAAGAAATGTACCCCGAAGACTTGCAGCATGCACCCTTCGTAGGAGATAGTTTTGCGCTTGGCTAACAGGTCCACAATCATCTTAGGAGCGGTGACTGAAGAGTAACAAATGTCCACAAAAGATAGGTAGCCGAGAAAAAAATACATAGGAAACTTGAAAAGGTTGCCCTTGTAAACTGTCAGCATGATGAGGAGGTTTCCCAGGAGAATGACTGCGTAGAAGAAAGAAAACACCACGAAACAAACTTCTTCAACCTCTAGGTTTTGAGAAAGGCCCCAGAAAACAAATTCAGTGACATTGTTTCTTTTTCCCATTGAATTAGTCTAGCAGACCCAGATCCCAAGAGACAATTCAGTTATCTGAAAGCAAAACATAACAGAGACCAACTGAGTTAATATTTCCAACTCAAACAAGCAAATAATCACAGTCGTTGAAAATAGAAAAATGGCTATTACTGCTGCTTGTCAGGCCTACAGGAAGAAACTAGATGTGAGCATCCTACTTGAGCGTGATAGTCCATTCCCTCACTTCAGATGAGAAAACAAACTCCAAGGAGATAGTGCAAAGCCTCTAAGTCACACATCTGGCCAAGAGTCTTTCCTCCCTCACCCTTTATTAAGGTCATTTTGATCTGTTTCTAAAAGTGTACTTCTTATGCTGTAGAAGGCAGTCAGCTTAATTTTTAAACAACTTTTGTGTTTGGAGGTATGGTAACAATTATATATCTGGAAAAGTTGACACAGAAACAAAAACATATGCCCACATTTCCCCCCTGAATACAGCCATGAGGGTTTCAAGTAGTGGAGAAAGGGTGACTTCTACAGGCTGTTCTTCTTATGAAACACTGATCTTTGTGTCTATGAATTTACTGTCCCCTCTTTGCCATCAAGTTCTTATAGTGAAGAGTGGTGTGGTGCTGTAGAAAGAGGGCCAACATGATACAAACCTGATTCTGAGATAATGGTGCTGTAATTCCAGAGAAATCCCTTAGCTTCATGGGGCTTCTGTTAGCCCATCCGTGAAATGGAAAGGTTTTCCCTCCACTATCATCTACATTCCTACCATAAAGTTAAATATATTCTGTCAGCCTGAAATAGCCCTAACACCCTGATAAGGAGGCAGAGAGAAGAGGAGATAAAGCCACAGAAAAACTCTCTGGAGACAGATCAGGACCTGTTTGACTTGAAAGGAAGGGAAGTGAAGTCTCAGGTAATTTCTGTATTCAAACCCAGTGTTTGAGGATTCCACAGGAATTACTGAAACTTGGTATTTTAAACATTTGTCTGTTAACTGGAAAAAAACAACAATAACACACAAAAAGACAAAGAAATAAACGAAGGACTTTGCCCTTAACCTCAGCATTCTTTCATGTATCCTTTTTTTTAAAAGATCATCTTTAAAAAAATTAAATTTATTGGGGTAACATTGGTTAATAATAGATTTCAAGTACATTTCTATATACATGATCTGTACATTGCTTTGTGTGCCCACCATCCAAAGTCAGTGCTCTTCCGTCACCATGTATTTGACTCCCTTTACCCTTTACCAACGCCCCCACCCTTCCCTCTGGTTACCACCACACTGTTGTCTGCATCTCTTCATGCATCCTTTTTAAACTTTCAATTTTATGCTAGTTTATATTAGGTCTCCCACTATAATTTTATACTTGTACATAATATTAATTCTGCATTATAGTGATAAACATGAATTAAGCATTTTTGGAAGAGATCTTTGCTCAAAGATACTTTAAAGGGGTTTAGGATGAAGACAATATTTACTTTAAATAGATAAATCTTCAGTGGTGGAATTTCAGGTACTCTAGTGAGGTCACTAGAATGTAAGTGTGGAATGGGGTATGTGCACCAGTTTGGACTCATGGGGCTTGCAAGATATTCATCAAACAAAGCCACAGAAGTGACTCCTTTAGTTATCGGTTAGATTGGATTACAGAGTGTCCTAGGTAGTCATTAGAAATGTTGTCCATCTGAGGCCATGTCATCCCAAGATCTGTCAAGGTCAGTGCCCTCAGCTGCCCCTTTGCAGCAATATTGTACTTGCATGTCCCGCTTTGGGGAAACTACAGGCTGGCTTTCCTCAGGTCTGTATATAAGAGTAGGTAGAGCAGTCATTACAGATGTGCCTTCTCTTGTAATAGTAATAGTGATAGTGATAGTGATAATAATAATAATAGTAATAGTAATAGAAATTCAAATTCAGACTCAAACACTTCCCCCTGCTTTTATATGCTCATCCTTCTTTGGATTTTCTTTCTGAATTTTAAAAAAGAAGAATATTTTCTACTGAGAAAATCTTTTGATTTAAGAGAGCTCAATTCGCAGTTTTTGACAACTGTGAATTATGCTGCTTGGTTCTCATCTAGAAGAAATTGGGCATGTAAACACAGCTTGGGAACTGTGCCCCCACTGTCCATACCATAAGGTCTTAGAAGAAGTCTTCCTTCTCTTCAAATCAAGACTCATCTAGAAGAATTCTTCCCTTCACTTTCTGAGCATTTCAAACATGATGCCTCACGTTCCTTTGAAATTATTGGCATTGCTTATTCACAGCCATGCTGTCCTATCTCATAGACATGTCTAGATTCACTTTATTATCTTATCATTATCTCAATAACTTTATTATCCTCTTATTTCTGAGGATAAGGTTCTTGCAATTATATTACAGGTTTTCAAAATATAGCAATTTGATTGAATTCCCTCTTTTCACAAACTTTTTTTAAACAAAATATATTTTATTAATGTTTTACAGAGAGGAAGGGAGAGTGATAGAAAGTTAGAAATATAGAGACATCGATCAGCTGCCTCCTGCACACCCACTCCTGGGATGTGCTTGCAACCAAGATACATGCCCTTGACTGGAATTGAACCTGGGACCCTTCAGTCCATAGGCCGACACTCTATCCACTGAGCCAAACCGGTTAGGGCACCACAAACTTTTTAGATTAGTTTTAGAAGAAAGAAAATCTCACCAATATTGTCCAGAGATTGAGTCTTGCTTTATTTTCCTATCTCTTCTGAGGTAATTTTGGTGCGGCTGTCCAAAATAAAGCAAGAATGAAGCCTTAGGAATTGCTTTGTGAATAATTACTACCAGAGAATTCCTGACCCCAAAAGTCAAAGGCTGATAGAAATCAAGTCTATGTTACTCAGGTTTTGTCTCTCACCAACTGAAATCTGACATTTCACTGTATCTTTGGCAACAAATGGTCTTTTCTCTACTTTTATAAAGTCTATATAAAGAAAGTGAAGCAAAATGCTAATGACCTTGGGGAATGCCTTTCCCCTAGTCTCCCTCCACAAGCAGAACCACACCAGAGAAATAACAGTGAGCTTTAGTTTCCAGACTCATTTTTGATTTGTTTAAAAAGGTTAAAGCTATTTTTATTTATTAATTTTAAAACCCAATCAATTCTTGCAGTTAGGCCTATAACTCTAATTGAAAACATAGCAAAAGAAACAACCAACAAAATGAAAAGTCAACCTATCAAATGGGAGAAGAAATTTGGAAACCATTTATCTGATAAGGGGTTTTATCCAAAATATAACCAAAAAACAAATAACATTTTTCCAAAGACATTCAAATGGCCAACAGGTACATGGAAAGGTGCTCAGAACAATTATTCATTAGGGAAATGCAAATCAAAACTGTAATGAGATGGCATCTCACACCTGTTAAATGACTACCATCAAAAAGAGAAGAGATAAGTGTTGGTGAAGCTGTGGAGAAAAGGGAACCCCTGTGCATTGTTGATGAGGATGTAAATTGGTGCAGCCACCCTGGAAAACAGCGTGGAGGTCCCTAAAAAATTAGAAATAGAACTACCATATGATTCAGCAATTCCACCTCTGGGTATTTATCCAAAGGAACTAAAAACAAGATCTCAAAGAGAGTCTTGAGGTTCCATGTTCATTGCAACATCACTCAAAATAGCCAAGGTATGGCAACAACCTAAGTCTCTGTCAAAAGATAAGGAAAAAAAAGTATATATAACAATGGAATGCTATTCAGCCACGAAAAAGAAGGGAATCCTGCCTCTTGTGACATCATGAATAGACCTTGCAGGGGTTATGATAAGTGAAATAAGTCAGAGAAAAACAAACACTGAATAATATCACTTAAATGTGAAATATAAAATAGCCAAACTCATAAAAACAGAGAAGAATGGTAGTTATCATTGGCTGGGGGCTGGGGAAAAGAGGGGAGATTGTGTTCAAAGGGTACAAACTTCCAGTTACAAGACAAATAAGCTCTGGAGATCTAATATACAGCATGGTGACTATAGTGTATTAATATATTTGAAATACCATTAATACTGTTATATACTTGAAAGCTGCTAAGAGAGTAGATCTTAAATGTTTCACCACAAGAAGAAAATGATAATTATGTGACATGATAGAGGTGGTAGCTAATGTTATGGTGGCAATCATTTTGCGATATATAAATATATCAGATCAACAGGTTGTATACCCTCAACTTATATATTAACTAGTGACCCGGTGCACAAAAATTTGTGCACTCGGGGGCTGGGGGGAGTGTCCCTCAGCCTGGCCTGCACCCTCTCCAATCTGGGACCCCTGGAAGGATGTCCTACTGCTGGTTTATAAGGATCGGGCCTAAACTGGCAGTCGGACATCCCTCTCATAATCTGGGACTACTGGCTCCTAACCACTCACCTGCCTGCCTGCCTGATTGCCCCTAACCACTCTGCCTGCCAGCCTGCTTGCCCCCAAATGCCCGCCCCCCCCAAGCCTGATCAGCCCCAACTGCCCCCTCTACCAGTGTGCTCACCCCAACTACCCCCCCTGCCGGCCTGCTTGCCCCTAACTGCCCCCACCCTCTGCTGGCCTGCTGAAGATTGATAGGAGCCTGCCGGCTGAGGGGAAGGACCAGGAGGTCTGCCTTCTGCCCATTCCCAATCCCCAGTCCCGCTTCGCTGGTGGAGCCTCCTGAGCCCAACACCCATGGCCTGGGTGCACAGGGGGCGGGGCCGCCGCCATCGCCATGTTCCTTCTGAGCCCTGCGCGGATGGCTGGGGCTGCACTCAGAAAGGGCTGCATACGGAGCAGGCTGCACATGGGGAGAGCCCCTTGCCATCCCCTTGTTCTGCCTGAGCTCTGCGCTGATGGCCTGGCCGCACACAGAATGGGCTGCACACGGTGTGGGTGCCCCTGCCCTCCCCTTGTTCCGCCTGAGCTCCTCACCAATGGCCTGGCCGCACACAGAGCAGGCTGCACAAGGGGCGGGGACCCCGCCTTTGCCGCTTTCCGCCTGAGCCCAGCAAGGATGGCCTGGCCGC